AATTATAATTTTATATTTAATTATGATTTTGTATTTAATTATAGTTTTTAATTTAATTATAATTTTGTATTTAATTATAATTTTGTATTTAAATACGATTTCATATTTAATTACAATTTCATATTTAATTACGATTTCGTATTTAATTATGATTTTGTATTTAATTACGATTTCATATTCAATTATGATTTTGTATTTAATTATGATTTCATATTCAATTATGATTTCGTATTTAATTACGATTTCATATTCAATTACAATTTCGTATTTAATTACGATTTTGTATTCAATTACGATTTCATATTTAATTATGATTTCATATTAATTACGATTTCAGATTAATATTGCTTTTTAATATTTTTTATCGTATTCCAATTATTAATACAATATCCTATTGGAATAGTTCCATTAAAATACGACCATATGTTTAATAATAATAACATTATAGTTATATAAAAATATCAAACTTTTTATATATTTTATTTAATTTTTAAACAATTATAATATAGTTTTATAGATTTAAGTAATAATATTAAAACTTTATTACTATATAATAATAAACAATAATAATTATTATTATTTTATAAATTTAAATAACAAAATTAAAATTAAAATTAATTATTTTTTTATTTTAATGATTTTAATAATTATATTCCTTATTATAAAATATTTTTTAAACTTAAAAAATTTTTTTTATTAATAATCACAATAATTTAATTGTTTATAAATAAATATTAATCATATTATCAATAGTTTGTTTCTATTATTTGATATTCTTTTAAATTGAAGATTTTATATATAATAGGTAAAAAATTAACTTTTATAAATAAGTAATATAGAATTCTTAATATAATAACAATAAATTAAAGTTTAATAAATATCTTATATTTAATGCTTATTTACAAAAAAAATAAAAAATAAAAAAACAAAAAATTTTTTTATATTTTTTTATTAAAATTATTTTTAATTAATTTTGTCTTTATTTTATAGATAGATGTGTTAATTATTATAATATTTTTTTTAAAAAATTTTTTTAATATAAAATCAATTTTAATAAAATTTTTAATAATCAAGTAAATTTGTTTTATATATTTTTACTAAGATGTATTTTAAAATTTTTAATGATTATTTATCAAATTATAAATAAAAATAAAAATAAAAACTTTGTTAAAAACTTTTTAAACAAACTGTGTATCATAATATAATTATTAGATTATTTTGATTATCGAAAAAATTTTCTATTCAATAGTTATAAATATTTTATGTTATATGTTAAAATAAATAAGTTTTTAAAATAAAAATCAAATAATCTTCAAAAAAATTTTTTATTATAAACTGTCTTATGTTATCTACTGTATGCAAATACAATATAGGATATACTGTGATTAATCAAAAACATTTTAAAAATGCCGATGAACTGCGAAACTACTGCGACACTACTGCGACATCAAATCTATCTTATCGGAATTTGATATCCCTACAAAGATTACAGATGTTCGACAAAGATCCGTTAACTGGTGTGTGATAAGGAAATTTCAAATCACACACGTACGTAGATATGAAATAATCAATGTTTATTTGTACGTAAGTGTTATTGTTCGCAAATGTGCCGTTATATGGTACGTATACGTATATTATGCATGTTTATCCATTTTATGATATTTATGATAAAATAGCTTTGTATTTTTCGATAATTTTGGAAATATTATGTGCATTCAATAACACAAAAAAAAAAAAAAAAAAAAATTAAATAAACCTACACGCAATCAGCATATGTGACAGTAAATGTAATAATGCGTTTCCCGAAAAATGATTTTAACTGGAAAGACGACAAAATTTAAACGCACGTGTCATATCACTTGATGCGCCGGAATTTTTTGTTAATGCCGGCCATCTGATGATAGGCGTTACGTATATTTCACACAGTGAAATTCATTGGTCGATTTACGTACTACATTCGATGCTTTAGAAATTTGCAATTGAGTTCAAATCCTCGACGTTTCAACTTTTTCTTTTCCTTCAAGAACATTTGCATTTCCCAAGATACCACCGCAGCCTTGAAGCAAGATAGAAAAAAAAATGGGAGCAAAATTTTCTACTACCAAACAAAAATCAGTTTACTTTGAGCATCAACTAATAAATTATAAAACGACAGCGGCTTCTTTATCGCCAGAGTGCCTGTTTGAAATATTTGAATATCTTGACAGGAACTCGCTTTATTTTTGTCTCTTGGTCAATAGGAGCTGGTGTAAAGTGGTGGCACCTTTGCTATGGAGAGCACCTTTTCGAACTTCAATCGGACCTTCACTTGAACCAGCAAAACTTATTCGGACTTATCTTAGTTGTCTTGGCGAAAGGTCGAAGTTATATCTTATCAACAATGGAGTTAGGTTGCCACCATTAGTGTCCGTCATATTTGACTATCCTTCATTTCTACGCGAATTAAAGTTTGTGGATTTGTATAATGCGGTGTCCGATTGGTTTGCAAACGAGTTTGGCAATAACGAAGATGAACAACAATCAGTTTTTCTGAGAATCCTAATTGCCGAACAATTATTTAAGTTGTTCATGAACCGATGTCCAACATTTGAAATGCTTTCCCTATCGGATTTATCTCACGAGGCGCCCATGCCTTTGGTACCTCTTTTGGCCGGAGCTGACCCGTGCTTGACCAGACTCAAGGCCTTTCAATGTGTCAACAAGCATAATGGCAAAAAGGATATCTTCCGTGCAATGTCCCAAGTATCGGAAACTCTTGAGACGTTGTGGATTGGAGGAGTTGAACATGAAATGGAGGTGAAAGCTTTAGGAGTTCTAATTAGGTCTCAGAGGAGGTTGAAAACTTTCAAATACTCGTGGGATAATCAAACTCGTCTGCAAATTGTGCTGGATGAAACACTTGGAGCCTTAAGGACACAAGCGAAAAGTCTCACCACGATTCACTTTGAATATTGCAATTTTTCTCATTGTGAATCATTGGAACCATTGGCAGCGTGCGTAAACCTGGAGAACATGCGATTCATACAATGCATCTTTCTGGAAGAGAGGTTACATCCTTTGACAAACGCACCCTTTCCCAATCTTAAGAATTTAGAATTTCATTGTAGTTTTGTGGATTCCTCTAGGTATTGGATAGACACTCGCGATATTGCATCCATCATAAGAAACTCGTCTGGTAGTCTAGAAAAATTGGTTCTACCTAAAGTAGGGAACTCTGAGGAATTGTCTCTGGAATTGATAAAATCGCTTCGGTTCGGTAAAAGTATCAGAGAAATACGATTGCAGATTAGAAACGAGGAGACCAACGATTTTATGGATTTCTTTAATAATAACAACAGGTTGGAAAAACTTATATTCATTTGTCATGGAGATTTAAACGTAGAAGATCTGTTGACACAAATGAACCAACGATGGCCGGATACTTTGTCATCACTACAGATTAAAGGACAATGGATTATCACCTCGGAATATTTGAAAGCTTTTCTCAAGGATTCTAATAGTTGTCTTAAACATTTGGAATTACACTCTTCGAACCATTTGACAGACGATCATGTGAATGTCGTCCTGGATTACCTGAAAGAGATGAAGGCGACCAAGAAATCTAGCTTAAGCAGTGTATTCATGTCAGGAGATCGGATAACCGAAAAAAGGGGAAACTTTTGTTTAACTCCTTTGATTTAATTTAATGTCATATTAATGACAACCACCAACAAAAGTAACAAAAGTATATAATAATTTTGTCGAACAGGATTTTACGATTAAATTTATTTTATTTTATTTTTATCATTATTATTCTTTCTCGAAGTCACGTTCAGAACAGTGCGTGTCGTATATATTGTGTGTGATGCGAAGGACTTTGGACACACGACAGTTGCAACTAACACGTACGCACACAAGATGGTGGGAATGAAATCAAATAATTTTTTTTTAGTAGCCTTGACTCTTGGATGAAGAAAATAATTTTTGAAAAGCAATGTAGTCTTATCTTTTCATTTTGTGCATCTGCTTAATTTTAATCACCCAAGATATAGATTGTACACAGTTTTCTTTTTACATACATACATACATATATATATATATATATATATAGACTGTACAGAACGTAATGATTAAAAAAAAAAAAAGAAAAAAAAAAAAAACAAAATTTCTTTTACTTTTTTTTGTTTACATAGTTGATCAACGTATCAAGAAATTATTACGTAATCCACAAGAAACATAAATACGTAGACGCAAGTCAATCAACTTTCCATTTAATATATTCCGTGGTAAAGGTCGAAATTGACAATATAACTTTTCCTGTCTAATAATGCGATAAGGCAATTGTGTTTAATCAATTTCTAAGGGTTGTTTGTAGATCATAATTTATTACGTCGTGCAAACGGTTATAGGTTCCCAAATAAAATTACACCGAAAAACAAATCCAAAACCGATTTCCAGTTTGTCAAACGATCTCGACTTCGATTCTTTGAAGATTTCACATTTGATTGATTGGTTTTCTACTCGACAGTATAACCGAAAGATCTCGGGGTGAACTTGTGAATTCAAAGTCTTCTCGTCGAAATCAAGTTACGAACAACCAGCCTTATATCATTCGTTATTCCTGCGAAGGTAATGATTCAAAATAAACATTTCGACACCGATCGGAAATTCGCAGGTTTTACATTCCCGTTCTTGAAGAATTTATGGAGAAATCTATCAAGCTAGAATATCTCGAGTTTATTAGTGTGATTTCGTGCAAAGCATGTGCACAATCAGACATCATGCGAGATATTTGCTGGGATTTGTGTACTTATTGAGAATTCTTACATAAAGGTAATACCCGAATGGTGACTGGGCTTCCGAGATTTCGGAAATCTGGCGCCTCATAATAAAATAAAAATTTTCGATTGAAATCGTCAGTTCGAAACTCTGGGAGACTGACTTCCTTAAAGCGAATGAAGAAAGTCCCGTCAGGCTACTTGAATATCAGGTAAAGTTATATTTAATATAAATATACGAGGGACATAGGTAAAGATGGGTCCCTAAATTATTTGCAAGGACATAATTCAAATGTCCCTTACTATTAAAAATTTTTATTTCTATATTAAGGAATAAAAAAAAACTACCTACAAAGGTTTTTTATAGTTTTAAGCATCTATACAAATCATTTCTGGAATTATGTTCCTATTGAAGTAAAGAGCTAGGAATTATGTCCTCTAGAGGACGTGGACGTAAAGGGACATAAATTTTATATGCTAAATACTTTAGGGACCCATCTTTAGACATAGGTAGACCATGTCAACCTTTGTAGGTATTTTACACCAAGTGTTCATCTTTCGTTTATCAGCAAAGAAAGCGATCGCAATCGTTTATTATTGACCCGAATCTATTAAACAACTCGCTTTAATTTTCGAATAAATGTGTAGCTGTCTTAAACCTTAATCTTAAGATTGGTATTTGTTTTTTTTTTTTTTTTGCTCAATTATCTCTTGCAAATTCATTTATTTGTTCACAACTTTCAGATCAGATAAAATTTGTGGACATCATTCCTTGAATATGCATATTCGTAAGGCAGGAGAATCTTCTTTTTTTTTCTTTAACACGACATGTTCTCTCATAGAATTCATAATTTTGAAAGGAGGTGAATTCTGATCACTTGATCACAAATCCGGAAAATTTGATAATGAGATAAGTTTGAAATATTGCCTTTTATGGAACCTCATTTGTGTGAAGGGCCTGAAGACGGTGATACGAGAATCTTATTTTTATCGTCAACAGCCCAACACCTCGACCCTTATTAATCACGCATCGCTATTGGTGTCCTCGTAATAAGTCTTACCAAAATCCCAATCATGGAATCCTTGAGCACAGATTTGTCTTAGAGCTTTTAAGCAGTAACACGTTGATTTCGTTTCGGAACGAACTATTGACTCTCCGAATATCATATGATCAAAATAACGCATGCGTATAAATAATGAATTGAATGTCTTCCCACGGTTCCTCACCTACTACTGTTTACTAGTGGTTGTTGTTTCGAAGACTTTTTAACTTCCATCGCTCATCATTTTGCAAAAGGTAGGTCATATTATAAAATGTGCACTATCATGAGGGAAAAAGAAAAATTTATAAAAATGTTTTGTAATAATTGACATTTTTTACAATGGCTTTTCGTTCGCTTTCGTTTTCATGGGACGATTACGAAAACACCAGTTCTTGACCAGTTCACACATAGCTACTGAAAGATGCCCGGTAAAAATATTCTCGTTTCCGGCCTCACCGCGGTGACCAATCAAACCGTGGTATCCTACGAAGAATATTTGGAAAAAATGAACGATTCCTCTTTCATTTTCCAAAAATTAAACTCAGACGCCCTTCATCAGTCCCATCTGGTTGGTGGCGTCGTCTCGACGGATGAAAATGATTTGGCTCAGGTCGATGAAGAAATGGACGACAACGACGACGACGCTGAAGATACTATGCCAATGTAATGTTCTTTCAAACTTCAAGTTTTGCATGTTTTGGTTTGTTGAATTAAACATGATATTTGGTTGACAGCTTCGTCAGAAGTTTGACCGGAAAAGTTTTAAATGTAAATTGCAAACCGGCGACTACAATCGAAAAACTCAAGGTAAAAATTCAACACAGAGAAGGTATTCCGGCGGATCAACAAAGATTAATCTTTTGTGGAAAGCAACTCGACGATGCCCATTCACTCAACAGTTATAATATTATGCGTGATTCCACCCTTCATCTCGTTCTCCGCCTTCGCGGTGGTGGTGGTGCAATGAACTACTTCCTTAGCCCTGAACTCCTGGATCCTATTTATGATTTCGATTTCACTAATCTCGACGATACGGGGAGTACATTTATGAGAGGTCAATTTGAATATCGTCGTCCCTGTGGTTGGAAACGTCATGCACTGAAGGTGCTCAACAAGTACGACAATGATAACAAATGGCTTGGAGTGACTAGTTCTCGTTTCCGTTACCATTCAGCGCCCAACGAATGGCCCGTTTCTTACCACGGAACCTCCAAACATCTTGGTCATACCATTGCTGAAGATGGTTTTCGTCTGAGTAAAGAGCAGGGTGTGCAGTTTCCCTACTCTCAGGGCCTCTACATGACACCCGACGTCAATGTGGCCGCCAAATATGCCGAAACGTTCGTTCATGATGGCGTTTGCTATAAAATTATTTTCCAAAACCGCGTCAATCCTGACACCATGTCCATCCTCAATACCAATCAAGGAGATTACTGGATCAGTCCAAGGGGCACGGATGTGCGTCCATATGGCATCTTGATTAAAAAGGCATAAAAGACATATTTTTTCTTATTTTTATCTTCTCTGTATTTTACTAACGGTTTTTGAAGGGTCTGTAATGTATTTTATGATTGATTTGTTTCTTATTATTTTTGGTTCGAGAAGCCTGTAACATATTTAAATACATACAAGTTTGTCAGTTATTGCAATTGTAAAAATGTTTTACTAGAAATCACAAATCCAACGACGCGTGATAATCGTAAATAAACTTTTGCTTAAACTGGTCGATCTGGAGAATATATGAACGATCGACAAGAGTAATGTAATGAATGTGCAATATGTCAAATGGGTAATTCTTTTCGAAGGCGGGCAGGGATTTTTCGGTCACTATAATTGTGATCCTAAAATTTACATTGTGTATGTATTGTTTAAACGTAGGGACCGAAAAAAAAACATATCTAGCATTTTTGCTGCCTTCAAAAATAATTACCCAAATATGGCTTTATTCATTCGGGTTTAAACAAAAAATATATGATGTTGGTTATTAATTATATATTGTATATACTGTATGTATATTATCATATTTGGCAAAGTACGATGAGATAGTTGAAGAAAACACTTTGTAAAAGGTGGTTACCTTGTCAAGTAGATAATATTAATTGTTTTTTTTTGTTTTTTGTTTTTTTTTTTAATTAATTTTTTCATGTGTTTATTATTATTATTATATATACAGTATATATATATATTAAATAATAAATCAACGACTAATATCACCCACTCACAATATACACTAGTTACAATATTATCTTTAAAAAAAAAAAAAAAAAAACCACAAAAGATAATAATAAAAAGAAAACAATGTTTAAAAATATCTTTCTTGGAAGAAGATACCTGAATTTATTATTTTATGTTTTTATGTATTTTATGTACAATAAATATATTAAATATATGCTACCATACTGTAAAATAAAAATAAAATGATTATATAATATACATATAATATATAAGTACAAATGACACGTCATATATGGGCACGTAACACTACACTCCGAACCAAGTTAAATCGACTTCGGAAATGGAATTCCATAATGTAATCGGAGTTGCTGTCCGTCTTTCATTGCGAGGATCTTTGTTACAAAGCATATATATAGCCGTCCAAATTCTTCTTGATAGCCTTTTCTTTACTCACATAGAAATGGCATCTTTTAATTCACACGATTTGATAAATAGAAAAGGCATAAAACGTCCCATTAACAATGAGGAAGAAGAGTCAAATAGACGTCTGTTCCAAAGACCACGCACTTCAGAATTCGAAACAAGCATAAATTGCGTTAGCAGTCAGGTCTCGGATCTGACACTTATAGATAATGATGACATGGACATGAACATGAACATGGATTTTGTCGAATCACACAAAACGAATACTACACATGTGTCAGAGTACATTGGTGAATTTGCTAGTCGAGCTGCTTTCGCCGTTGATATTGTTTCTAACTTTGTGCCTTTTGGAAGTTTGATATCAAACATTTATAAGGCAGGCGAGGAAATTATTTCTTTATATCAAAAAGCCGAATATCACAAGGAAATTTGCAGTCATATGACTCAGAGAGTCATCGCCGCAATGGCGGCCGTGAAGGATTTAAAAACAAGGAAAAATGAGAACGAAAAATTCTTTACCGAGGAAAATCTTCAAATCTTCAAAGGATTTGTAAGATGCATGTGGAAGATACGAGATTACATTAGTGAAATATCACAACTCGGAAAGATGCGAAAAATAATAAAAGCGAATATGATTGAACAAAAATTTAAAGAACTTACCTTAGAATTTGAAGGATATATGAAATCCTTACAGTTCGCAATTATAGTGCAATCCAATCTGGATATGAACGCCGAGATACAGAAAATCGAACAAAATGTAAGACAAGTTAAAGAGGTAACCTGTGACATTTTCATATGCGTGTTTTGTTCAATAGTTTATTTTGAAATAATATCAATTTTTTTTTGTATTAGATGCTTAGTCATATCCATGGTGGCATTACTGATTCGCATAACCACATCTCATGGAAAATTCCACAAGTTCGAAACATGAATATTGAATTTTTAAATCAACAAAACAATCGAGGACTTGAATCATCACACCTGGAATTGTTAGACTTAAACTTATATGAGAAGGAACCTAATGTTACAAGGCGAAATATTACTAAATGGTTAAATATTCAGTATGGTGTTGAAGTGGCGTTTAAAGAATTTACAAATAATACCAGTGATAATTCCAGTGAAATGGAAAATGACATCTGTAAGCAAGTCGCGATCTTACAGCATTTGCAACAATCCTCGCATATAATTAAGTTTTACGGCATTGCAAAGGATGGATTTAAATATTACTTGGTAACCGAATGGATGGAGAATAAGAACTTACTTGAATATTATGAGTGTCATCCACTCATCGCATGGTCAAAGAAACTCGATTTTGCCGTTGATATTTGTCGTGGTCTTATATTTCTAAATGCCGTTGAGGTAAATATACATATATAGAGGGAGAGAGAATCCGGATTTTTGAATTTTCAATTGTTAACGATCAAGTTCATTGCCATCATGTCAGATCCTTCATCGCGATTTGCGAGGCGCAAACATGCTAGTTGATAAAAATCACAAAGTTAAAATCGCCAATTTTGGTTTGAGCCGACGATTCACGGAGGTCACCAGGAATATTCAAACGAGTCTAGAAACGGTCAAATATATGGCACCCGAGAAGCTGTCCAAGGGGGACAAATACACTTATGACATTAAATGTGAAATTTATAGGTAATTCTGCATGTGTTTTGTTAATACAGTAACTATTTCGCATGAATAACCTTGCTTCTTGTTTCTTCGCATCAGTCTTGGCGCACTCTTATGGGAGATCGCCGAGCAGAGGCCGCCGTTTTCAAGTGGAAATTTGGAATTTCAAGCCATTCGTGATCTGGTGGTCAAAACCCGTTATCGTGAACCATTATCTCCTGGAGTACCCGAATTGTGGAAGAAAGTTGTGACCCAAGGTATTCCTTTCAGTCACGAATGATTGTAAGCATGAAAATAGTCAAAGTTCCAAAATTTACTTATTCTTTAACTTGTTCAAACGATAGCTTTACGCCATTCACCGTCAGATCGTCCAGCAATTTCATATATTTTTGAAAATCTTTACCAGTGTCAAAAACTTTGCGACCCTCAACCACAATTGGTATCATCATCATTTGACACAGAGATGGATGACGGATTTGGATCAGAAAGTGAAATTTTAGACATTGGACAAACACCAATCGAAGATTCTGGATGCATAAGTGTTCAAGAAGCAATCGAAGAACATAAAAAGGGAAATTTTCAGGCAGCATGGAGATGGTTTTTTTATCATGCAGAAAATGGAGATATGCTTGCAAAGTTTTGGGTTGCCTGTTATCTCTATCAGTCTGAAATTGATGAGCTTAAATGTAACAAAGAGGAAAATCGTGTGAAGGCTGCCCAACTCTTTAAGGAAACTGCCGACAATGGAAAGCATGAGGCTCAACTCAGATATGGAAGTTGTCTTTGGCAAGGAAAAGGGGTGAGAACTAATTATAATGAAGCGATTAGATATCTAACAATGGCAGCTGATAATGGAAATGTAAATGCCATGTATAATGTTGGATGTGCTTATTACAAAGGCAAAGGAGTTGAAAAAAGTAAAACAAAAGGAGAATACTATTTGAAGAAAGCGGCACGAAAAGAGCACCCCAAATCAATCGAGATGTGTAAAAGTTGTGAGATTGATTATTTATATGGATAATTGTAATTGTAATTTATTAATTTATTGATTGATTGATTGATTAGTTTTTGATGTGAAATATACTTTTGAAAAAAATCGCACAATTAGAAATAAGATATTTAATCAATTTGTATAAAATAATCATTTGACATTTAATATACAACAAACTTAACACTATCTTTAATGAAGGTTCTCAATAAGATCTCCCTTTTTTGTTTGATGCAAAGTTTTCAAGTTTCACACTTTGTGTGTTAACAAAAAATTTCATCTGATTTAAATTTCACACAGTATATTACCAAGTATCTTGGAAGGATCGCCTGTTATGAAGTTCAGCAATACAAATATTAACTTGAATTCATGTAGAACGAATGAAAAGTCACACCTCTTCTATTCCGACAATAAAGACACTGTTATGAGTCAAAGCGTTGACTGCATCCATCACGAAGATAGCTCGGTAGTCGTTATTATATTCCGAGTCCATTGCAACAGAAAAATAAAAATAAAAAATAAATTTTAAAACAGCCAAGGAGACTTCAAACACAATTACTCACGTCCCACATGATACAGTTTAGCCTTAGTCAATCGAGGTCCGTAACGAACGATCCCACAAACCCTGCATTTCGCATCAATGCACAACGTGCCAACATCTTTCAATTCTTTAATATCACAACAATGCTGGTGCCATGATACAATCGTCGAACATTACAGCCCATCTGATCTCGTTTATAAATTTCGAATAATGAATGAACATTTGTTTCGTATGCAGGAACTTTGATTTGAAATTCGTTGTAGAGTTTGAGCTTTGCGGGATATTCACAAGAGTTGACATGTTAAGCGTGAAAAGAAAAAAAAATGTCTGAATGTATTGTACGAGAAATTTCTACGTTGATTTATCAACTAATTTTAGGACGTCAATTCAAGAGAATTGTTAAATTTTTCCCCAATGTGACATAATGATTGCAAATTTATTTGTCTTCGATAATTCAGAACCGTTAACTCAGCTTTATTCATTCAGATTTAGAATATGACAAAAGTGAAAGTATACCAAGGACATCAATTTGGTTAAAATTCTATACCACCACCTCACAAGGCATGCGCTGTCATAATTTTTACAATATCTTTTGGTCTATAAACCAAATAATAATAAGAATCAAATCTCTTAGCAAATTGTTTAAGTGAAAACTTATATATATATATATACAGTAAATAGATTCTTACCTATCATCCGAATCACAATCAACGAGTCCCATACGCTTAACAACTCTCATACCATCACTC